TTTATGGGTCTGCGTCGAGGTCTTTGCCTCAGTAATTACACCAACGACAGTGTTAAGGGCCGTTCACACCAAAGCATCAAAAAACGCCTTGACGCTTCTATTTGGACGCGTTTGCATTTGAGTTTAGACGCCCCTGACGCACGTCTTTGACGCCGTGGACGAACGGGACAAAAATACTTGACGCGCGTCCACTGGAAACAAGAGCCCGGTCCCGGTCTTTTCCCGAAACAATGTCAGACCAGACTGAGAGAGTGTTTTTATGACATAAAACATCAGCGGAGGAGATCGGGTCGACGACTGGGGCGTATATATATTTATACTCCTAATGACACTGGATCAGTCCCGGTCTAGTCCTGGTCTAATACCGGTCTGGTCCTGGTCTAATCACGGTCTAGTCCCAGTCTAGTCCTGGTCTAATACCGGTCTGGTCCTGGTCTAATCACGGTCTAGTCCCGGTCTAGTCCCGGTCTAATCACGGTCTAGTCCTGGTCTAATCACGGTCTAGTCCCGGTCTAGTCCTTGTTTAGTCTCGGTCTAGTCTCGGTCTAGTCCTTGTTTAGTCCCGGTCGAGTCCTGGTTTAGTCCTGGTCCGGTCCTGGTGTAGTCCTCGCGATCGGCTCGGTGATTGTGGTGTATATATTTATTCTCCGCTCATGTTTGTGGTTCTCGTTCTGGTTCTCGGGTTTTTCTTCCTGATAATAACGTCGCTGCGTCACTGGATACTCGTCCCTGATTGGTTGACGCGGCGCGTCTGACGCGAAAAGTTCAGCATTTTCAACTTCTTGACGCTGACGCCTTGGACGCGCGTCTTGGCCGCTGACGCCAAAACGCTGAAGACGCGCCGCGCTGACGCTAGATTCGCGCCGCGCTGACGACGAAAACGCGCCGCAAAAACGCAGGACGCTCTAGTCGCGCGTCCACATAGACTTTACATAGAAACTGGACGCTTTGACGCTTTGGTCTGAACGGGCCTTTAATCCTCTGTCACAAAAGAACACTCATATTCCACCGAGTCATGTCCTTTAGTCCGACAGAAGCTGAACCACATCGGCCTTCAAGGTTTTATGCAAATGAGTCATGTGGTTTTAAAGTTTGTATGGAGGATTTTTTTAGTTTCAAATTGTCAGTGATAGATTATAGATGCAGTAGCCTTGTAATTATGATGACCAAAAAAAAGAGAATAAAAGTTCATCAACTCTGGACGTGGTGGGGCTAAACATTTGCCAATAGATAACGACACTGCCTCGTTATCTGTGAGCTGACAGGCTGTCAATCAAACTCCCTACGTTTCTAGCGTAACTGACTTGCCTGCGCCGCCGGTACGTGGTTTATGTACGACTGTCACACAGTCCACAGACGCAAGACGCACAGACGCTGTTTACTCCACCAACGCAACAGTTCTTAGCGGCTTTTTTTGACTTATATCTTCCTCACAGTTAAAACAAAGTTTGTTGCAATGACGACAAGAATCCAGGAGCAGTTCGCCGCAAAAGAAAGTCTGTTTTTGAGGTTGATGAAAGAAGAAGACAAGGGGAAAAGCAGCGAAGCCAAACTAAGGTGATTCTTGAAGATTCATTCCAGCGATGGCGCGACTGAAGCAGACGAAGAGTCTAAAGACTGAACCACTGGTCCACAAATTACTCCTGGACAGGAAACTTCTGCTTATTATGAAAACTTACTTTATTTCCAAGAGGGAGACAAACGTTTTTCAGGACACGAAAGTGATATCCTATGTCTGAAAACGTCATTTTCAAGGCAAAGAAAGAGTCCGCTTGCTGCTGCGTGTTGTAGTTAGTTCATTCGCACTGAATCTCCGCGCAACCTTCTCTGCTCCCCTTTCCTGCTCCTGTCCCCGCTGCCCGATCCACTCTTCTCCCCGCTCCTCACTTCTCCGTCTTGACTAACCAACACTGTAGTTAGTTGTTTACAAGTCATGTGCAGCGGCTGTAAACAAACCTGTTTGTGGCGTAAGGAGGAGGCGGGAGGAGGCGTTTCTACGTAGGAGCTGTGGGGGAGGGGGGGTGGTTTCACGCATGCGCAACATTTGAAAAAGGACAAACAGTTGCTGGATTTCACGTTCCTTGGAAAATCCTCTATACAACCTTTAAAGGTTGTATAGAGGATTTTTTTAAGGGAAGAGAAATACAGCGACAGTCCTTGTGCGCGTTCAGAATTACTGTTGAAGTTTCCTGTCTAGAAGTAATTAATCGCTGGACGAGATCTCCAAGAATCACCTCAGTTTGTCTTCGCTCCTTTTCCTCTTCTCTTCTTCTTTCAGCGACCTCAAAAACGGACTTTCTTTTGCGGCGAACCGGTCGTGGATTCTCGTCCGCCGTTGCGACAAACTTTGTGCGAAATGCGAGGAAGCGACAGTTCGACAAAGCCTCTAAGAACCGCTGCGTAAACCACGTAATCCCCGCGCTCAGACGAGTCAGTTACACTAGGGAGTTTGATTGACAGCCTAACAGCCAATAGAAAATGAGGGAGCCTCGTTTTCTATTGGCTGATGTTTATCTGGCCTCAACACGTCCACAGTTGATAGATTTTTGTTCTTTTTTTTTTGGTCATCATAATTACAAAGCTGCTGCGTCTCTGTAATGATATTTTAATCTTTCACTGACAGTTTGAAACAAAAAAAAAAATCCTCCATACAACCTTTAATAACGGTTGTACGTTCGGTGTCAGGTGACCGGGAGAAACGTGATCCTGTTCGTGATCTTCGGCTGCGTGGAGGAGATGCAGAACAAGGCCGTGGTCTTCTTCGTCTTCTACATCTGGAGCTGCATCGAGATCTTCAGGTTTCACTTCTCTTCTGTCATAAACACACAACAAAAATGCTCAAAATCTGTTTAGTTTGTTATTATTAAAAGATGATTACTCCATTTTTGCACTTATATAATTTAAAGGGCCCAGATTACGCTATTTTCTAATTTTCTAATGTAGTTTCCTCGTCACAAACAGACCTGTAGTTGTCTTTTGTTTCATTCATATGTTTGAGTAACTCTTTATTATTAGTCTGTTCCACCCTGTGATGTCATGAAGTGGTAGTTTTCAAGTGATCAGCTCCTTTTACCTTTTAATTGTAAATAAAAAAAAGTAAATATTGGCAATTCCAGGACTGAAATGATCCAAATGATTCTGTGGAAGGTGTGTGGAGTTTAAAAACACAGTGGAGCACTTCCTGTATCACCACATGACGACATCACGAGAGAAGAACTTCATCTAGAGGTTTACGGGTTTGAATGAAACAAAACACAACTCCAGGTTTGTTTGTGACGAGGAAACAACATGAGAACAACTTTAAATGTTCACGAGAACCAGTCTGACAGTGACACAGCAAACTCCTGACAGACAATCTAACAGGTCTGAACCAGGACTGAACCAGGACTGAACCAGGAAACCAGGTCTAAACCAGGTCTAAACCAGGACTGAACCAGGACTAACCAGGACTGAAACCAGGACTAAACCAGGACTAAAAACAGATCTAAACCAGGAAACCAGGACTGAACCAGGACTGAACCAGGACTGAACCAGGACTAAACCAGGGACTGAACCAGGACTGAAAACCAGGACTAAACCAGGTAAAAACCAGGAAACCAGGTCTAACCAGGACTGAACCAGGACTAAACCAGGACTAAAACCAGGACTGAAACCAGGACTGAACCAGAACTAACCAGGTCTAAACCAGGACTAAAAACCAGGCTAAACCAGGACTAAACCAGGACTGAACCAGGAACTGAACCAGGACTGAACCAGGACTAACCAGGACTAAAACCAGGTCTAAACCAGGACTAAACCAGGACTAAACCAGGACTGAACCAGGACTGAACCAGGACTGAAACCCAGGACTGAAACCAGGACTAAACCAGGTCTGAACCAGGACTAAACCAGGACTAAACCAGGACTAAAACCAGGTCTAAAACCAGGACTAAACCAGGACTAAAACCAGGACTAAAACCAGGACTAAACCAGGTCTAAACCAGGACTAAACCAGGACTAAAACCAGGACTAAACCAGGTCTAAACCAGGACTAAACCAGGACTAAACCAGGACTAAAACCAGGTCTAAAACCAGGTCTAAACCAGGTCTAAACCAGGACTAAACCAGGACTAAACCAGGACTAAAAACAGATCTAAACCAGGGCTAATCCAGGACTAAAAACAGATCTAAACCAGGACTAAAAACAGATCTAAACCAGGGCTAAACCAGGACTAAAACCAGGTCTAAACCAGGACTAAACTAGGACTAAACCAGGACTAAACCAGGACTAAAACAGATCTAAACCAGGACTAAAAACAGATCTAAACCAGGGCTAATCCAGGACTAAAAACAGATCTAAACCAGGTCTAAACAAGGACTAAACTAGGACTAAACCAGGACTAAACCAGGACTAAACCAGGACTAAACCAGGACTAAACCAGGACTAAACTAGGACTAAAACAGGACTAAAAACGGGTCTAAACCAGTCTGACACAGTCACAGTAAACTCCTAACAGAATTCTGACCAGTCCTTTGTCTCCGTCTTCTCTCCTTCGTCTTCTCCTCGTCTTCTCTCTTCTTCTCTCCTCTCTCCTTCTCTCCTCCCTCTCTCCCTCTTCGTCTTCTTCTCCTTCTTCTCTCCTTCTTCTCCGTCTTCTCTCCGTCTTCTCCCCGTCTTCTCTCTTCTTCTCTCCTTCTTCTCTCCGTCTTCTCTCTGTCTTCTCTCTCGTCTTCTCTCCGTCTTCTCTCTCTCTGTCTTCTCTCCGTCTTCTCTCTTCTCCCCGTCTTCTCTCTCTCTCTCTCCTCTTCTCTCCGTCTTCTCTCCGTCTTCTCTCTTCTCTCTCGTCTTCTCTCCGTCTTCTCTCTTCGTCTTCTCTCTCGTCTTCTCTCCGTCTTCTCCCCGTCTTCTCTCTCTCTCGTCTTCTCTCTTCCTCTCCCGTCTTCTCTCCGTCTTCTTCCCGCAGATATCCGTTCTACATGCTGGGCTGTATGGGCACAGAGTGGAAGCTGCTCACGTGGCTGCGCTACAGTCTGTGGATTCCTCTGTACCCGCTGGGCGCCATCGCTGAAGGTCAGAGCCGCTTTAAGTTGGTTATTTTATTCATTCTTCTGCTATTTGATGATTTTTACAGTCTGTGCAGCACTTTGGAAACTGCTTTCTATGTAAAATGTGCTGTAGAAATAAAGTAGATTTGGATTTTGGAGCATATTTTCCAACTTTTCTCCACAAACTGCTTCATGATTTGCGTAAAAGAGCAATAATTCCACTAAATTAAGTCAAAATCTGTGTGTTAATCCTTTGTCTTTCTGTCGTCTCCTCAGCCGTGGCCGTGGTTCAGTCTCTGCCCGTGTTCGACGAGACTCGGATGTTTTCTCTCCCTCTGCCCGTGGCCCTCGGAGGCTCCCTCAGTTTCTCGTATTCTCTGCGCCTCTACCTCATCCTCATGTTCCTGGGTAAGACTCCGGTCACACACTAATCGATGCAAAAGATCGTATCGAAACTACAAATTTTTCGCAGGCGTCGATACTAAAACGGGAGTGTCATTGTCAGGACAGAGCAGAACCTTTCCTGAAAAGCTTTAGAAAGATCTGGAGCTGAATCAGAACAAGTATAAGAGCACAGAGACCTGGTTTAGACCTGGTTTAGACCTGGACCAGACTTGAACCAGACCTGGACCACTGAGGGATTACACAGATATATGGCCACGTGGGAATAAAAACAAAAGTATGACCATTTAATGCAGTAAATCACATTCTGTTGTCTAAATAAAGAGTGTTTTTATTATCGTGGTGGCTGGAATAAGGTACTGAGTATGAAGTCTGTTCCTTAGTATTGAAATGGACAAAAACAATATACAGTCAGTTTGTTTTGTGCCCATAAACGTGACCTTTTTAGCTACTATGAGAGTCGAAGATAAATACGTGTATCATTCGTTCATTCGTTTTTCAATATAAAACCAAAAATAAGAAAATGAAAAAACAACAGTTTTCTTCGCCATTTGTCTCCAAAACCAAAATGAAAAAACGGATAACGGCCGTTTCCCGTTTACGTGACTTCCGTGACTGTGATGCCGAACTTTTGCACCGGGTACGGACTGAACCAGGACGGATCCAGGTCCGAGACCAGAGCAGGACTGAGCCCACGGCAGGGCCGGAGCTCGAAGCTGAGGCTCGAAGCTGAGGCTCGGAGTCAAAGCTCGGAGTCAAAGCTCGGAGTCCGCTCCTGGTCCCTGTCTGGTCCCGGTCTCAGTCCTGCTCTGGTCCTGCTCTGGTCTCGGACCTGGATCCGTCCTGATTCAGTCCGTACGAGGTGCAAAAGTCCGGCATCGCAGTCACTGAAGTCACGTAAACGGGAAACGGCCGTTATCCGTTTTTTCCATTCTTCATTTAAACACAAAATCGAAAACTGAAAAAACGAATCGTTATCCGTTTTTTCGTTTTCTTATTTTTGGTTTTATATTGAAAAACGAATGAACGAATGATACACGGATTAAGATAAATACCGTCGCCTTTAACTTTTCACTTCACATCTTCTGTATTTCTTGGTGTGTTTTCCATGAGGAGGGTGTGTGTGTGTGAAGTGCAAAATAACTGTTCAAAACACAATCGAACAGAATTTTACTCGGCGCGTCACCCCCGTCTCTTCCCGAGCTCTACTCAGGGTTCCCACGGTCGAAGAAATCCTGGAAAAGTCATGGAAATTGAAAATGTCATGTTTCACGCCTGGAAAAGTCATTGAAGTTTAGTATCTCTTTCTGCAGCGTTCTGTTCACTTCTCATGAGTCTGTTTATTTCTGATTATTCCTGAACATCTGCACCTTTAGTTTAAAAGAGACGACACTAAATGCACTGACAGGATTTTGAATGTTCAAAAACCATAATCCCAAACCAGGGACGTGCATGATCAGTCGACTAATCCATAATTGATCATTAAGAATTTCGTCGATTACGTTCATTTCTAATCGACAAACTGAATGTAGGTTCTTTGCGTAGATACGATGGTGCGTCTCACAAACACTGGAGTTGTTGCCTCAGTCCCACGTTTGGAGACACTGTTCCTCTCAGTGAGTTTGTTTACATCTGTGTCCCGGTTACTGAAACATGAAGAGCTGCACTGAACCTGCACACGTACGACGGGCATTCCATGAAATTTTCTTAATCGATCGTCGGAAGAATTAACGATCGATTATCGATTAATCATTAACGTTTTTATATTAAAATGATCAACCAGGACTAGAACAAGTCTAGACCAGGACTTGACCAGAACTAGAACGGGACCAAACCAAGTCCACATCAGAATTAAACCAGGCTCAATCCAGGACTAAATTTGACCAGGACTAGACCAGGACTAGAATGGGACCAAGCCTAGTCCACATCTGAACTAAACTAGGCTCAGTCTAGGACTAAATTAAACCAAGACTAGAGGGACTAGAACAGGACTAGAACAGTACCAAGCCAAGTCTACATCTGGACTATACCAGGACTAGAATAGGACTAGAACAAGTCTAGACCAGGACTAGAACAGGACCAAGCCAAGTCTACATTTGAACTAAACTAGGCTCAGTCCAGGACTAAATTAAACCAGGACTAGAACAGGACTAAACGAGGACCAGATCAGTACTAGAGTGGGACTAGAGTGGGACTAGAGTGGGACTAGAGTGGGACTAGAGTGGGACTAGAGTGGGACTAGAGTGGGACTAGGACTAGATTAAACCAGGACTAGAACAGCGTTTTGCAGTTTTAATGCAGTTGAGCGTTTGTTTACTCGTTGCTATGGCGACAGGCGCAGAGCAGTGATACAGAGCAGTGATTGGGCCGTTGCCGGAACTTCTTGTGCGTTGTGCAGTATTAACACGCGGCGGTTATGGTGCGTTTGTTTATCCCGAGGAAAAATTCCGAGATAGAATCCAAGATCCATTTAAGTATGAATTTAAACTAGGGATGGGCTTTCCATTAAATTTTCGTAGTCGATTGTCGGGAGAATTAATGATCGATTATCAATTAATCATTAACATTTTTATATTAAAATGATCATCATTATTATTACTATCTGCACTAATCTGCATCAATAAATTCAACTTTACGACATATAAACATAACGACTCTAGATCCACATCAGCTGTTTGACATTATAATGTGTTTAATTCAGTTTTGTTCAAATCTCACAGAAACAAAACTTAAAACCACATCACTAATTTACATAAACTAAGTGAAGATAAAACTCCAGCTCTTGTGTCGCTGATGTGGTTCAACTTGTGTTGGATTAAAAGACATGACTCAGGTGAATACAGGTCAGTGTGACCAGATTTGTGTTTGTCAAAACCAGGACAGCGTACGGGGGGAGGGGGGCGGGGCCTCGTCATCCACATTGAGCGACTCTCACCTGGAAAAACTTTTTCCCACTGGACACAGAAACATATGTGCTGCTTTATCCACTGTGCACATGGACTCACACTTGTCCCAACGCAACGGAAAGTGTGGAATTTCTTCTACAAATCCTGGTTAAATCCACATTTGTGCTTCGGTTCGTTACAGACTGACCCACTGTTTGTGTCTCGCTCCTTCTGATGCAGAGACACATGTACACACCTGTTTGCTCACGACACACAAACATACATTCAGTTTGTCGATTAAAATGAACGTAATCGATGAAATTCTTTTTTTTTTTTTTTTTTTTTTTTTTATTTCACAAATTGAAAAATACAATCTTGCAGGATTTTTGTTCGATAATAATATCCTCATATCCGTACCATAAGTATATGCATATTCTCACATATAAATACATATACATACACACATATATATTCATACATATATACATACATATATCTATATACCTACATACCCACATTTACAGACATACACTCGAGTACATTCAACTACATTTGACATTTACCTAACTTTTTTTATATATATATATATATATATATATATATATATATATATATATATATATATATAATTAAATAAACCAGAAATAACACTGTAGCATGGAACCAGGGTGTGCTTTAAGACGTTATTTTATACATTACTCTACATCGCACCAAAGACATATTTCAAACACACTGCTAATTTTCAGACTCTATACAAAGTCAGACCGTGTTTGTCTAATATAATTTAACCATCCCCTCCATAAATTTTCAAATTTGTCTTTCTCCAACCTAACTGATGCCGTCACTTTCTCCATGTTGTATATATTGAGCCTTACATCCACCCACTCTTCTACCTTAGGTATTTGATCCGTCCGCCATTTTTTGGTGATTGCCTTTTTGCTCGCCAACAGCATCATTTTCAGTATATTATAATCAATCCTTCTAGTTAAGTTCAGTATATCAATTTTACCCAGATAAAAAACTTCAAAATTTAGGGGAACACTACAATTCACTACTTACACTTCACTATCAATAATAATTTTAACTCCTGTCCAATATGATTTCAATAGTGGGCATCCCCAAAAAATGTGAAAGTGATCTGCCTTGGAAGTACCACAGGATCTCCAACATGTCGTATCTGCATATTTCCTCTGTGCAGGGGTCAGAAAGAATCTACTTATGTTCTTCCATCCATATTCCCTCGATGAAATTCTTAATGATCAATTATCGATTAATCGACTAATCATGCCCGTCCCTAATCACAACACACAGAACACTCACCATCACCCCTCTGTCACAGAAAGAACACTCATATTCCACTGAGTCGTGTCCTTTAGTCCGACAGAAGCTGAACCACATCAGCGACACGAGCGTTTTTTTTTTTTTTCTTTGCTTAGTTTATGCAAATTAACCACACGGTTTTAAGTCTTGCACAAATCTGCATTAAACACATGAAAATGTCAAACAGGCTGATGTGTTTATATGTTGAAAACTTGAATTTATTTATGCAAATTGGTAATAATAATAATAATGATGATGATACTTTATTATTTAAAAACGTTAATGATTAATCGGAAATCGATCACTAATTCTTCCGACGATCGATTAACAAAATTTCGTCGAGTGCCCATCCGTACCCCGAACCATGAGGTGAGTGGAAAGAGTTCACATTTCATATTTAGAAGTAAAAGTCTGATCAGTTCTGCACATGTAGGAGCTGTGAAAGTCATGGAAAATTCACTTTAGGTCATGGAAAAGTCCTGGAAAAGTTTTGAAATTTAATTATTGAAAAAGAGTGTGAAGCCTGAGTACTGCGCATGTCTCCTGTAGAAAGAGTCTCTGTCCTGTCTGGGTCATGTCAGTGTCTTGTACAATCACTAGTATGCCAACCGCACACTTCCTGATTACAAACCATAAGCACTTGTTTTGACTTCAAAAGCTGCTTATACAATTTATGGGCTACGCAAAAATATGATCTAAACGACTGCGTGAAAGAAACGTTTGCTGGCGTCTGCGTTACAAATCTGTTTGGTCCAAGGGGAGAAAGTGTAATAAGGTTAAAAGCTGAAAAGTCCATTTTGCAGAACAGGTCTGATTTAAAAGGAGATTTGTGAAAATGTCTAAATCCTCGTTCGTACACGAGCTTATGTAAACACGGGAAAAGCCGAACATCTGGACCATCCTGAGCCAAAAGACACACACAGGAATCTGACCTAACTGGTCTGGACCAGGACTGGACCAGGACTAAACCAGGACTAAACGAAGACTGGACCAGGACTGGACCAGGACTGAACCAGGACTAAACCAGGACTAAAGCAGGACTAAACCAGGACTGAACCAGACTAAAGAGGACTAAAGACTGACCAGGCCTGGACCAGGACTGAACCAGGACTTAACCAGGACTAAACCAGGACTGAACCAGGACTAAAGCAGGACTAAACGAAGACTGGACCAGGACTAAACCAGGACTGAACCAGGACTAAAGCAGGACTAAACCAGGACTGGACCAGGACTGGACCAGGACTGAACCAGGACTTAACCAGGACTAAACCAGGACTGAACCAGGACTAAAGCAGGACTAAACAAAGACTGGACCAGGGCTGAACCAGGACTAAACCAGGACTGGACCAGGGCTGAACCAGGACTAAACCAGGACTAAACCAGGACTGGACCAGGACTGAACCAGGACTAAACTAGACTGAACCAGTCTGAACCAGGTCTGAACCAGGTCTGAACCAGGTCTGAACCAGGTCTAAACCAGGTCTAAACCAGGTCTAAACCAGGACTGAACCAGGGCTAAACTAAGACAGAACCAAAGCTAAACCAGATCTAAACCGAGACAGAAAGTGGACTAAACCAGGACTAAACAGGACTAAACTAGGACTAAACCATGTCTAAACCAGGCCTAAACCAGGTCTGAATGAGGACTAAACCAGGACTAAATCAAAACTGAACCAGGTCTAAACGAAGACTGAACCAGGGCTAAACTAGGGCTGAACCAGGACTAAAGAGTCACTAAACTAAGAACTAAACCTGAACTGAACCAGGACTAAACCAGGCAGGACTAAACCCGGTCTCGCCCCGTCCTCCCTGGTGTCCTACAGTGTGTCCTACAGAGAGTGTGTCCTACAGAGCGTGTGTCCTACAGAGAGTGTGTCCTACAGAGCGTGTGTCCTACAGAGCGTGTGTCCTACAGAGAGTGTGTCCTACAGAGCGTGTGTCCTACAGAGAGTGTGTCCTACAGAGCGTGTGTCCTACAGAGCGTGTGTCCTACAGAGAGTGTGTCCTACAGAGCGTGTGTCCTACAGAGCGTGTGTCCTACAGAGCGTGTGTCCTACAGAGCGTGTGTCCTACAGAGCGTGTGTCCTACAGAGCGTGTGTCCTACAGAGAGTGTGTCCTACAGAGAGTGTGTCCTACAGAGAGTGTGTCCTACAGAGAGTGTGTCCTACAGAGAGTGTGTCCTACAGAGAGTGTGTCCTACAGAGAGTGTGTCCTACAGAGAGTGTGTCCTACAGAGAGTGTGTCCTACAGAGCGTGTGTCCTACAGAGAGTGTGTCCTACAGAGAGTGTGTCCTGGGCCGGTGCACAGATGGAGCAGGACTCAGGATTAGGGACAAACAGATTAAATTATAAAAGTCTGAAATGAGGAGTTTGAGTTTTTGTGAAGGAGCCGACCTCAGATTAGACGCAGCGCCACCTGTCCCCGTCTAAACCTCAGACCTCAGACCGAACCGACCCGGGATCTAAACCTCAGACCGAAGACCGACCCGGGATCTAAACCTCAGACCAGACCGACCCGGGATCTAAACCTCAGACCGAACCGACCCGGGATCTAAACCTCAGACCGGAGACCGAACCGACCCGGGATCTAAACCTCAGAACTGAGACCGAACCGACCCGGGATCTAAACCTCAGACCGAACCGACCCGGGATCTAAACCTCAGACCGAAGACCGAACCGACCCGGGATCTAAACCTCAGACCGGAGACCGAACCGACCCGGGATCTAAACCTCAGACCTCAGACCGAACCGACCCGGGATCTAAACCTCAGACCGAGACCGACCCGGGATCTAAACCTCAGACCGGAGACCGACCCGGGATCTAAACCTCAGACCTCAACCGACCCGGGATCTAAACCTCAGACCGAACCGACCCGGGATCTAAACCTCAGACCGAAGACCGAACCGACCCGGGATCTAAACCTCAGACCGAAGACCGACCCGGGATCTAAACCTCAGAACTGAGACCGAACCGACCCGGGATCTAAACCTCAGACCGACCCGGGATCTAAACCTCAGACCGAACCGACCCGGGATCTAAACCTCAGACCGACCGACCCGGGATCTAAACCTCAGAACTCAGACCGAACCGACCCGGGATCTAAACCTCAGACTGAAGAGAAGACCGACCAAGAGTCTAAACACAAGAACTAAACTAAACCAAGACTGAACCAGTACTAAAGACTCACTAAACCAGGTCTAAACCAGGTCTAAACCAGGTCTAAACCAGGTCTAAACCAGGGCTGAACCAAGACTAAACCAAGATTGAACTAGGACTGAACTAGGGCTAAAGAATCACTAAATCAGGACTAAATCAAGACTTAACCAGGTCTAAACCAGGTCTAAACCAGATCTAAGCCAGGTCTAAACCAGGTCTAAACCAGATCTAAGCCAGGTCTAAACCAGGTCTAAACCAGATCTAAGCCAGGTCTAAACCAGGTCTGATTTATTTAGGGGCAAATAGTGAAATAAAAACCCCAGGCTCATATAAATCGGGTTAATCTGAACATTTTAAGACCAAAATGACGAGTCTGACAGCTGCAGTCACAGAGAGAAGGACGACGGTTTTTCAATAGAAAGTGAACTGGAGCCAGAGTCGATGGAGCCGGAAACGCGCCCATGCTCACTTCCTGTCTGCATTTACACAGTACAGTTCCTGCATCAGGCACAAAGAGCACACAGCCCCCGTTTATTCTCTCGTTTTGTGATAATAATGACTTTACCTTTGTGTTGTTTTTTTGTTTTTTCTTCCAGGTCTTTTCACAAACTTCCGTCACTTGTACAAACAGAGGCGACGGCGATATCGCTCCAGGAAGAGGAAGCAGCTCTGAGCCGGCCGGCGCCAACTCTGCAAACTTTTATTTTTATTTAATTTAAAACGAGTCTAATGAAGTATACAACGTCCAGTCTGTCCTCTGGAGGGCTGGAACAGGAACTGATATCGAATCACAATCACCACGTTTACATGATGTTTTTTAATTCAGAATTAATTGTTTGGAATTTTTACATGGATATAATAATTCGGAATTGCCTTTATTTAATTCCGCTCAGCGTCTGGGGGTGGGGAAGGTTCTGATTGGACAGAGACACCAACATATTTACATCGACCGGAAGAAAACACCCGACTTTTCTGTCATCCACGGACACAAACGCCGTCCAAACTTTTTCCGCAGTCGTTCCGATGATAATTACCGTTTGTTTCTATACTACAAAACGCGCCGGATTATAAGGCCCAATATCAGTAATGTTGAATTCTCTCGTCTATTTTCAGAAGGTGCAAGCGAATTTAAACAGTCAAAACTTTATTCAACTCATTCACAATAACTTCGCCCGGGCTGGAGTGTGGATCGGGCTTTAGTTTTTCTGTCCAAGCCCGACCCACGTCCAGCAGAGCAGAGATCGAATCCGACCCGAGCCCGACACAATTAAAAACACGCTATTTTCACAAGCCGACTAAAGACACATGTAGGATATTGTTTGTGTTCCTCTAACAGACACAGAGACGCAAAATACAAACTCAGGATATATTGAAAATAATGAGCAGACTTTAAATTTAACACTTCACGAGAAGCGAGGAATAAAGTGCAGCATCTCATCCGCATTATCCACAGAAATCGTCCTCCGCAAATAATGACCCCAGTCCACAAAACGGCGCTCTTAATCCAGATTGAAGTGTTCTTTAAAAGTAAAAAGGCCGGAGTAGTTCCTCTCATGTGTCTGTTTACATCCACACAGCGCACTGATCGAGTTGAAGCTGCAGATTCTCCACAGTGACTCGACTTCCTGTGGACTTTTATGCTTTAAAAATCCCGTATCTGAAGTTTTGCACCACATTTCACAAATATAATAACACGGTTTTGACTTGTATCTAAACTAGAAGTGCAGAGTCTGATCTTTTGAACACTTAAAACTCTCAGAGCGACTGGTTTTACTGTCGACAGGAAACAGCTGACGCCATCACAGACTCACAGGTTTATATCCTGTGGTCCACACACTGATCCCACTGCAGACTTTGAGATCAGAAGTTTTAAGTCTCATCAGATTCTCCTCGTGTGTGTGGTGAGAGCTTTTTGTCACACACTTAAAGGTTGTATGGAGGATTTTTTTTTTGTTTCAAACTGTCAGTGAAAGATTAAAATACCATTACAGAGACGCAGCAGCTTTGTAATTATGATGACCAAAAAAAAAAGAATGAAAATCTATCAACTGTGGACGTGTTGAGGCCAGATAAACATCAGCCAATAGAAAACGAGGCTCCCTCATTTTCTATTGGCTGTTAGGTTGTCAATCAAACTCCCTAGTGTAACTGACTCGTCGGAGCGCGGGGATTACGTGGTTTACGCAGCGGTTCTTAGAGGCTTTTTCGAACTGTCGCTTCCTCGCATTTCGCACAAAGTTTGTCGCGACGGCGGACGAGAATCCACGACCGGTTCGCCGCAAAAGAAAGTCCGTTTTTGAGGTCGCTGAAAGAAGAAGAGAAGAGGAAAAGGAGCGAAGACAAACTGAGGTGATTCTTGGAGATCTCGTCCAGCGATGGCGCGACCGAAGCAGACGAAGGGTCTAAAAACTGACGCGTCGGTCGCTGAATTACTTCTAGACAGGAAACTTCAACAGTAATTCTGAACGCGCACAAGGACTGTCGCTGTATTTCTCTTCCCTTAAAAAAATCCTCTATACAACCTTTAAAGATGAATGAATGAATGAGTGTTTATTCGGACAGTAATACATAGAACATGCACAGAGAACATAAATACATAGATATAACATATAAAGTAAATATTTCTTCTCTGTAATAAGTGAAAATAAATCTCACGCAGATTTTCCTTGTGTCTGAAAAAGGAGTGGGAGGAAGTAAATACTTATTTAACCCCACCCCTTTTTTCTACCGTCCCAAAATCGTTTAAGACTGAAAAATCCTGTAGCGTGTTGTGACCTTGAGCTGTGTTTAATTTTACATTTCGAACGTCTTATCGCTCTGATGTGTCCGAGTCCGACCAGTGCCCGAACGTAAGTTATAAATATTTGCCCGAACCCGTCAGACTTCGGTCGGGTTCCATGCTCTAGCCCAGGCGTCCACGATCCGTCGGCAGATCGTGGTGTAACTCGCCCGGCGTCGCCTCCCTGTCTTGGTGAATGTGTTCCTTTCCTGACTACGGCGACCGAACTTCTCCGACAATCCATCGAGCGGTGCGGCTTCGTATCTTACCAAAGTCGTACTAAAACATTTTGACAGATTTTTGAGCGCCGTGTACCACATAAAATCGGTTTGAGGTCAGTAAACACAACCAGAGTTAATACATAAGGCGCACTGTCGATTTTTGAGAAAATTAAAGGACGCTTTACGTCTGTCGGCTGAGGAGGAGGAGGAAGAAGACAGAGTGAGTGTGAAGCTGCTCTACCTCAGCCCACATCCCGCTCACAAATCCAAAGAGACGAGGATCAAAGTCCCGAGACGCGACTGATGGAGCCGGATCGAAGGACGACACAACGAGCATGAACTCTACGACCGGGATTATTTTTAACCAGAATAAACGTGAAACATGATCCAAAAATGAATTAATTCGGCTTTAAAATCGGGATAAACCACCCACTTACTTCGGAATTAAGCTGAATTCCGAATAATCACTTTCATTAGGAATTAAGTGTTTACATTTTCTTTTTAAAGCGGAATTAAATTATTTTTATTCGGAATTAAATCTCTCATGTAAACGTGGCAATTCTCAAGTTTAAATTCACTGTTTTGGTGCAGGAACAGCTAAAAAAAACCAGAAGGAACTACATAGACCATGATCCTTTGCTCTGTTCCGGCGCAGGCTACATGAAGAAATAAGTTTTACGAAGTACTTTTAAAATCTTAATTCTTTCACAAAACCAAAGGCGTTTTAAAAAGAGAAAATAGCGGTGTTACGTTCACAATTCTGTCAGCTTCCACACAAAAAATCGCAATAAAAACCATAAGGAGGAGAGCGATACTTTGCCGTGGCGTCGCTCCGGGGGTGTTCTACGTGCGTGTCTGCGGCGGAATGTTCAGCGGACACGACACGAACGCTGTCGGATGTTTAAAGACGGTCTGAAAACTCAAGAAAAAATAAAATGAGTCAGTTTTTTCTGGTCAGATTGTGTTAAAACAAAACTTAAGTCTCACAGAGTTTCAGACGGAGCAGTGCCTCCAGTTAGCGTCACACCCCCAGGGGAACGTCGCAAAGTCTCGCTGTCGTACGGAGAGATTCAGACATCGTTACGTCCCTCTTTCAATTTTTAAAAGGGTCCAAACTTTGAACGAAATCTTTAATAACTGAAGCCTTGAGTTTTTCATTCCTACGTTTCTATGACTTTGTCCGTTTGGTGTTTTTAATTGTTTTTCTTAATAATATTTAATGTTTTGATTATATTTATTTACTCAAAGTGCCTGTGACGGGTTTACGTGACTTTCTAATTCTGGTTGGTTTGTTTTTAAGCGGCAGTTTGTAGAAAAATGCGTAAATAAGCAGCGTCGAGTTCTAAAATCACGATTGCACAAAACTCGTCCAAATGCAGAGTTTAGAAAGTTTACGCACAAAAAACGACTTTTTCTGTGAGTTTTAAACAACGAGGAGCAGGTTTAATCCAGGACTAGACCAAGACCAAACCAGGTCTACGTCCGAACTAAACTAAGATCAGTCCAGGACTAAATTAGAACAGGACTAGGAACAGGAACACGACTAAATTGGGACTAGAACAGGACCAAACCAAGTCTACATCTGAACTAAACCAGGACTAGAACAAGTCTAGACCAGGACTTGATCAGGACTAGAACAGGACTAAATTAAACCAGCACTAGACCAGGACTAGAATGGGACCAGACCAAGTCTACATCTGAACTAAACTAGGCTCAGTCCAGGACTAAATTAAACCGGGACGAGAACAGGACTAAACGAGGACCAATCCAGGACTAAATTAAACCAGGACTACAGTGGGACTAGAACAGGACTAGGACAGGACCAAACCAAGTCTACATCTGAACTAAACCAGGACTAGAACAAGTCTAGACCAGGACTTGACCAGAACTAGAACGGGACCAAACCAAGTCCACATCTGGACTAAACCAGGACTAGAACAAGTCTAGACCAGGACTTGACCAGAACTAGAACGGGACCAAACCAAGTCCACATCAGAATTAAACCAGGCTCAATCCAGGACTAAATTTGACCAGGACTAGACCAGGACTAGAATGGGACCAAGCCAAGTCCACATCTGAACTAAACTAGGCTCAGTCTAGGACTAAATTAAACCAAGACTAGAGGGACTAGAACAGGACCAAGCCAAGTCTACATCTGGACTAAACCAGGACTAGAATAGGACTAGAACAAGTCTAGACCAGGACTAGACCAGGACCAAGCCAAGTCTACATTTGAACTAAACTAGGCTCAGTCCAGGACTAAATTAAACCAGGACTAGAACAGGACTAAACGAGGACCAGATCAGTACTAGAGTGGGACTAGACCCAGACTAGGACAGGACTAGAAGGACTAGAACAGGACTAACCAGGACCAAACCAAGTCTACATCTGAACTAAACTAGGCTCAGTCCAGGACTAGATTAAACCAGGTCTAGAACAGCGTTTTGCAGTTTTAATGCAGTTGAGCGTTTGTTTACTCGTTGCTATGGCGACAGGCGCAGAGCAGTGATACAGAGCAGTGATTGGGCCGTTGCCGGAACTACTTGTGCGTTGTGCAGTATTAACACGCGGCGGTTATGGTGCGTTTGTTTATCCCGAGGAAAAATTCCGAGATAGAATCCAAGATCCATTTAAGTATGAATTTAAACTAGGGATGGGCTTTCGATTAAATTTTCGTAATCGATTGTCGGGAGAATTAATGATCGATTATCAATTAATCATTAACATTTTTATATAAAAATGATCCTCATTATTATTATTACTATTTGCACTAATCTGCATCAAATAAATTCAACTTTACGACATATAAACATAACGACTCTAGATCCACATCAGCTGTTTGACATTATAATGTGTTTAATTCAGTTTTGTTCAAATCTCACAGAAACAAAACTTAAAACCTAACAAAGCCTAAAATTATTACTCAAGGGACAAAAATGTGCAATTAATGGTGAGTTCACTATCACATTCATGAGATTAATTGTAGTTAAATATTGTAATCGTTTGGCAGCACTGGATTTTATTAGTTTAACAGAAGGATTGTGTGATTTAGACTCGTGTTTGTTCTTGTTTACGTTATATTTGCTTGGAAAAAGTTGTAGGATTAAACTCTGTGTTTGTCAAATCTGCTGCTCATGTCCAACCAAAATACAATTATTATAAACGTCACCAAAATCACAAAAAACTGTCTGGATATTTTCTAAACTCTTGAAGGACTCAGAGTTTGACCCGTCAGAGACATTTTGAAAAACACAAGTGAGTTTTACTGCCACATCTGTTTGAGAAAAAGCAACATCACGGAACATTAACGATTTTACTCCTGGTTCAGTCCCTGACTCTTTGTAAAACTGAGACTAAACCAGGACTAAACCCTAAACTAGAACAGGACTAGACCAGGACTAAAACGGGATTTGACCAGGACTAGAACAGGACCAAACCAAGTCTACATCTGAACTAAACTAGGCTCAATCCAGGACTAAACCAGGACTAGAACAGGACTAGACCAAGACTAGAATGGGACCAAACCAAGTCTACATCAGATCTAAACCAGGACCAATCCAGGACTAAATTAAACCAGGAGTAGAGCAGGACTAGAACTGGACTTGACCAGGACTAGAACAGGACCAAACCAAGTCTACATCTGAACTAAACTAGGCTCACAGTCCAAGACTAGATTAAACCAGGCCTGGAACCGGACTGAACCAGGACCAATCCAGGACTAAATAAAACCGAGACTAGAGTGGGACTAGGCCAGGATTTGACCAGGACTAGAACAGGACCAAACCAAGTCTACATCAGATTTAATCTAGGCTCAGTCCAGGTCTAAACCAGAACCAATCCAGGACTAATTTAAACCAGGACTAGGCCAGGACTAGAACAGGACCAAACCAAGTCTACATCTGAAATAAACTAGGCTCAAACCAGGACTAGATCAGGACTAGAACTGGACTCGAGTGGAACTATGCCAGGACTATATCAAGGTCTAAATCAGGACTAAACCAGGACTGAACCAGGACTAAACCAGGACTAAACCAGGACTAAACCAGGTCTGAATAAGGACTAACCCAGGACTAAACCAAGACTAAACCAGGTCTAAACCAGGACTAAACCAGGTCTAAACCGGGTCTAAACCAGGACTGAACCAGGTCTAAACCAGGTCTAAACCAGGACTGAACCAGGACTAAACCAGGACTAAACCAGGACTAAACCAGGACTAAACCAGGACTAAACCAGGTCTAAACCTCTGCAGACTGTTTAATCTGGTTTAGTTCTTGTTTTTCCAGGTTTTTCAGAGTTTTTTGGGACGTTCGTGTCTCGTGTTGTTGTTTTTCTCTCGAGTCTTTTTCACCTTTGGCCTTTTCTGTTTGCGTTTTGAGATTTTGAGATTTTGAGATTTGGTTTGTGAATTATTTCTGACAATAATCCCGAGCCTGTTTGTCATGATACGAAAGAATAAATCTGAAATGTCCCAGTGTGTTTTTGTCTCCGTCTGGACTTTTACCTCTGGTTGCCGTGGTAACGTGGCAGCGTCTGGACCAGGATTAGATTTTAGATTTATTATATATTTATTATATATTTATGTTTTTCTCTTTTATTAAGTTCAGATAAAACCAGGAGAGGATCAGTTTTACTCAGGTTATAATTCTGTCCTTTTTTTTCAGTTGTGGTTTAGTTCTAGTTTAATCCTGGTTGAGTCTTGGATTAGTTCTGGTTTAGTCCAAGTTCAGTCCTGGTTTAGTCCTGGTTTAGTTCTGGTTTAGTCCAAGTTCAGTCCTGGTTTAGTCCTGGTTTAGACCTGGTTTAGTTCTGGTTTAGTCCAAGTTCAGTCCTGGTTTAGACCTGGTTTAGTCCCAGTTTAGACCTGGTTTAGTCCCAGTTTAGACCTGGTTTAGTTCTGGTTTAGTCCAAGTTCAGTCCTGGTTTAGTCCTGGTTTAGACCTGGTTTAGTCCCAGTTTAGACCTGGTTTAGTCCAAGTTCAGTCCTGGTTTAGTCCCGGTTTAGACCTGGTTTAGTCCCAGTTTAGACCTGGTTTAGTTCTGGTTTAGTCTTGGTTTAGTCTTGGTTTAGACCTGGTTCAGTCCTGGTTTAGTCCTGGTTTAGTCCTGGTGGTTTAGTCCTGGTTTAGACCTGGTTTAGTCCTGGTTTAGACCTGGTGGTTTAGTCCTGGTTTAGTCCTGGTTTAGTCTTGGTTCAGTCCTGGTTTAGACCTGGTTTAGTCCTGGTTTACCTGGTTTAGTTGGTTTAGTCCTGGTTTAGACCTGGTTTAGTCCTGGTTTAGTCCTGGTTTAGACCTGGTTTAGACCTGGTTTAGTCCTGGTTTAGACCTGGTTTAGACCTGGTTTAGTCCTGGTTTAGACCTGGTTTAGACCTGGTTCAGTCCTGGTTTAGATCCGGTCTAGTCCAGGTCTAACCCAGGACTAAACCAGTGAAACAGTGCGGTGTTGTGTCTCCTTTAAAGCGCGTTAGTTTCGGCTCGGTTCGGCTCGGTTCGGCTCGGTTCGGCTGGGGGGGAGAGCGGCTCACTCGCAGCTTCTCTCCCGGCCCGCGGAAGCTGATTGGCGGCGTTAATCCTCTTAAGGCTCCGGCTCCAAAGCCCCGGAGTCAGCAGCATCTCCAGCCCGCCTCCCACAGCTGGAGCCCGGCATGGCGCAGCGCGGCGGCCCGGAGCGCGTCTGCAGGTGATCCGGACCGAGCCCAACCGAACCGAGCCGGAGCGTGTCCAGTGAAGCAGAAAACACCGCGGAACCGGCGACGGGAAAAGGTAAAAAAAAATAATGTGACGTAAAAATGTGCGACGCAATTCGTGTTTTTTGTGGAAGCAACAAGTGCGAGGTTCACCGCGTCACCGCCGCCGCCGCCGCCGCCGCTGCTCCGGTACAAAATGGATCCTGAGATTTAATCCGAGTTCAGATTCATGTTCCTGATGTTTCCTCCTCAAAACAACAGACCCGGAGTTTGAACGAGTCTCCACGAGTCTGTGCAGGTTTAAACGCTCTGTTCCACCTTGTGACGTCACGAAGAGGGAGTTTACAAGTGAACAACTGGATTTTATTAAACTGAATCAGAACTGAACCAGGACTAAACCAGGACTAAACCAGGACTGAACCAGGACTAAACCAGGACTAAACCAGGACTGAAGGACAGGACTAAACCAGGTCTAAACCAGGACTAAACCGGACTAAAACCAGGACTAAACCAGGTCTAAACCAGGTCTAAACCAGGATTAAACCAAGACTAAACCAGGACTAAACCAGGACTGAACCAGGACTGAACCAGGACTAAACCAGGTCTAAACCAGGACTAAACCAGGACTAAACCAGGATTAAACCAAGACTAAACCAGGACTAAACCAGGACTAAACCAAGACTAAACCAGGACTAAACCAGGACTAAACCAGGACTGAACCAGGTCTGAACCAGGACTGAACCAGGACTGAACCGGGACTAAACCGGGACTAAACCAGGACTAAACCAGGACTGAACCAGGACTAAACCAGGATTTAATCGGGACTGAAACAGGATTGAATCAGGACTAAACCAGGACTAAATTCAGTACTTGAACCGGGACTAAACCAAGACTAAACCAGGACTAAACCAAGACTAAACCAGGACTAAACCAGGTCTGACCCAGAATTAATTCCGTACATGAACCAGGTCTAAACTTGTACTGAACCAAGTCGTCTAAACCAGGACTAAACCAGGACTAAACCAGGTCTAAACCAGGACTAAACCAGGACTAAACCAGGTCTAAACCAGGACTAAACCAGGACTAAACCAGGTCTAACAGCTCTTTTCCCCTTTAGTTCAATACAGATTTATCAATTCCAGGACTGATTGATTCTAGTGACGGTGTTCGGACTTTAAAAACACAGTGGAGCACTTCCTGTATCACCACATGACGACATCACCAGGTGGAAACAAAACACAACTCCAGGTCTGTTTGTGATGAGGAAACGACATCAGAACAGAGAAAAAATCAAATCAAATAAAATGGTTTCAGAATCAGTGATCGGAAATTTAGTATCGGAATTGAGTTTAAAATTTCTTCTAAAATTTTTTTGACATTTATCTTTTTTTTTTTGCAGGTCTCATCTGTTGGAAATTGCGGCTGGTCCAGAAAAATCCAAGTCTAAACCATGAAGAAGAACCAAATCAAGAACTAAACCAGGACTAGGACTAGACCAGGACTAGACCAGGACTGAACCAGGACCGCGCCCGGACCGGACCCAGGATGGGGGCTTATCCGAGGAGGAGACTGCGCTTCGGTAGAGTCCTGGTTTTCGTGGTCTGTTTGGTCCTGGTTTTGGTCTACGTCTTGTCCCTGAGACTTCGAGACTCGGATCTAGACCCAGTCCGCCTGAGAGTCCGAGATCTGGACCAGGATCTGAACCCGGATTTGAATCAGGACCAGGACCAGGTGAGAGTCCAGGGACGAAAGACTAATGCTGTCAAAAGTATCAAAAGTATCGAAACTCAGTCCAAGTTTAGACCTGGTTTAGTCCAAGTTCAGACCTGGTTTAGTCCAAGTTTAGACCTGGTTTAGTCCAAGTTCAGACCTGGTTTAGTCCAAGTTCAGACCTGGTTTAGTCCAAGTTCAGACCTGGTTTAGTCCAAGTTCAGACCTGGTTTAGTCCAAGTTCAGACCTGGTTTAGTCCAAGTTCAGACCTGGTTTAGTCCAAGTTTAGACCTGGTTTAGTTCAAGTTCAGACCTGGTTTAGTCCAAGTTCAGACCTGGTTAGTCCAAGTTTAGACCCTGGTTTAGTCCAAGTTCAGACCTGGTTTAGTCCAAGTTCAGACCTGGTTTAGTCCATGTTTAGACCTGGTTTAGTCCAAGTTTAGACCTGGTTTAGTCCAAGTTCAGACCTGGTTTAGTCCAAGTTTAGACCTGGTTTTAGTCCAAGTTCAGACCTGGTTTAGTCCAGGTTTAGACCTGGTTTAGTCCAGTTCAGACCTGGTTTAGTCCAAGTTTCAGACCTGGTTTAGTCAAGTTCAGACCTGGTTTAGTCCAAGTTTAGACCTGGTTTAGTCCTACTTTAGACCTGGTTTAGTCCAAGTTCAGACCTGGTTTAGTCCAAGTTCAGACCTGGTTTAGTCCAAGTTTAGACCTGGTTTAGTCCAAGTTTAGACCTGGTTTAGTCCTACTTTAGACCTGGTTTAGTCCAAGTTTAGACCTGGTTTAGTCCAAGTTTAGACCTGGTTTAGTCCAAGTTTAGACCTGGTTTAGTCCATGTTTAGGCCTGGTTCAGTCCTACTTTAGACCTGACTTAGTCCAAGTTTAGACCTGGTTTAGTCCAAGTTTAGACCTGGTTTAGTCCTAGTTTAGACCTGGTTTAGTCCAAGTTTAGACCTGGTTTAGTCCAAGTTTAGACCTGGTTTAGTCCAAGTTTAGACCTGGTTTAGTCCAAGTTTAGACCTGTTTAGTCCAAGTTTAGACCTGGTTTAGTCCAAGTTTAGACCTGGTTTAGTCCAAGTTTAGACCTGGTTTAGTCCAAGTTTAGACCTGGTTTAGTCCAAGTTTAGACCTGGTTTAGTCCAAGTTTAGACCTGGTTTAGTCCAAGTTTAGACCTGGTTTAGTCCATGTTTAGACCTGGTTTAGTCCTACTTTAGACCTGGTTTAGTCCAAGTTCAGACCTGGTTTAGTCCAAGTTTAGACCTGGTTTAGTCCTACTTTAGACCTGGTTTAGTCCAAGTTCAGACCTTGTTTAGTCCAAGTTTAGACCTGGTTTAGTCCAAGTTTAGACCTTGTTTAGTCCAAGTTTAGACCTGGTTTAGTCCAAGTTCAGACCTGGTTTAGTCCAAGTTTAGACCTGGTTTAGTCCAAGTTCAGACCTGGTTTAGTCCAAGTTTAGACCTGGTTTAGTCCTACTTTAGACCTGGTTTAGTCCAAGTTCAGACCTTGTTTAGTCCAAGTTTCAGACCTGGTTTAGTCCAAGTTTAGACCTGGTTTAGTCCAAGTTCAGACCTGGTTTAGTCCAAGTTTAGACCTGGTTTAGTCCAAGTTTAGACCTTGGTTTTAGTCCAAGTTCAGACCTGGTTTAGTCCAAGTTTAGACCTGGTTTAGTCCAAGTTCAGACCTGGTTTAGTCCAAGTTCAGACCTGGTTTAGTCCTACTTTAGACCTGGTTTAGTCCAAGTTCAGACCTGGTTTAGTCCAAGTTTAGACCTGGTTTAGTCCAAGTTCAGACCTGGTTTAGTCCAAGTTCAGACCTGGTTTAGTCCAAGTTCAGACCTGGTTTAGTCCAAGTTTAGACCTGGTTTAGTCCAAGTTTAGACCTGGTTTAGTCCAAGTTTAGACCTGGTTTAGTCCAAGTTCAGACCTGGTTTAGTCCAAGTTTAGACCTTGTTTAGTCCATGTTTAGACCTGGTTTAGTCCAAGTTTAGACCTGGTTTAGTCCAAGTTTAGACCTGGTTTAGTCCAAGTTTAGACCTGGTTTAGTCCAAGTTTAGACCTGGTTTAGTCCAAGTTTAGACCTGTTTAGTCCAAGTTTAGACCTGGTTTAGTCCAAGTTCAGACCTGGTTTAGTCTATGTTTAGACCTGGTTTAGTCCAAGTTCAGACCTGGTTTAGTCCAAGTTTAGAACCTGGTTTAGTCCAGTTTAGACCTGGTTTAGTCCATGTTTAGACCTGGTTTAGTCCAAGTTCAGACCTGGTTTAGTCCAAGTTTAGACCTGGTTTAGTCCAAGTTTAGACCTGGTTTAGTCCAAGTTTAGACCTGGTTTAGTCCAAGTTTAGACCTGGTTTAGTCCAAGTTTAGACCTGGTTTAGTCCTAGTTTAGACCTGGTTTAGTCCAAGTTTAGACCTGGTTTAGTCCAGTTTAGACCTGGTTTAGTCCTTTAGTCCAGTTAGACCTGGTTTAGTCCTACTTTAGACCTGGTTTAGTCCTAAGACCTGGTTTAGTCTATGTTTTAGACCTGGTTTAGTCCAAGTTTAGACCTGGTTTAGTCCAAGTTCAGACCTGGTTTAGTCCAAGTTTAGACCTGGTTTAGTCCAAGTTTAGACCTGGTTTAGTCCAAGTTCAGACCTGGTTTAGTCCAAGTTTAGACCTGGTTTAGTCCATGTTTAGACCTGGTTTAGTCCTACTTTAGATATCTTAGATAAAACTTGATTAATTAAACCAAATTCAACAAATACATTTCATTGTAAATAATCATTATTTTATTTTATTATCAATAAATTAAATGTCAACTTGTTTAGTAAGAATAAAATACTTTGACGATCTCTCATGTTTCATTTCTTTTAAAGGAGCCAGAGCAGTTCTCAGTTGGAGTCCCGGATCTAGACCAGGATCTGGGCCAGACCAGTCGTCCTGTGATCCCAGTGAACCGGACCGACATCGAGACCTGTGTTTATGTGGACAAACCAGAACCTCCCTCCCCGACCGACCAGACGCCCCCCAGGTACACAGGACGGAATATATACATATATATATATATATATATATATATATATATATATATCTATATATATATATATATATATATATATATATATATATATATATATATATATATATATATATATATATATATATATATATATATATATATATATATATATATATATATATATATATATATATGTATATATATATATATATATATATATATATATATATATATATATATATATATATATATATATGTATATATATATATATATATATATATATATATATATATATATATATATATAGATATATATATATATATATATATATATATATATATATATATATATATATATATATATATATAATGTGTGTGTGATGTGTGTGGCTGAATATTCTGCCATATACATGACTCGGTGTGACTCTGTATGACTCGGTGTGACACGGCATGACTTGGTGTGACTCAGTGTGACTCTTTCCTGTGACTCAGTGTGTCTTAATGTGACTCGGTGTGACTGGTATGTGACTCTGTATGACTCGGTGTGACTCTGTATGACTCGGTGTGACTCTGTATGACTCGGCACGGTGTGACATGACTCGGTGTGGTGACTCGGTGACTGTGTGACTCGGTGTGAGTGTGACTGTCCTGTGACTCGGCGTGACTCTGTTGTGTGACTCGGTGTGACTCGGCGTGACTTGGTGTGACTTGGTGTGACTGGGTGTGACTGGTTGTGACTCGATGTGTGACTCGGTGTGACTGGGTGTGACTCGGTGTGACTCGGTGTGACTCGGTGTGCCCCGGTGTGCTCCGCAGTAAAGGCGAGTACCCGGAGGACGTGTTCTCGTTGGAGCAGCGTCAGAGCGGGGTGGGTGACTCGGTGTGACTCGGTGTGACTCGGTGTGACTCGGTGTGACTCGGTGTGCCCGCAGTAAAGGCGAGTACCCGGAGGACGTGTTCTCGTTGGAGCAGCGTCAGAGCGGGTGGGTGACTCGGTGTGACTCGGTGTGACTCGGTGTGACTCGGTGTGACTCGGACTCGGGTGTGACTCGGGGTGACTCGGTGTGCCCGCAGTAAAGGCGAGTACCCGGAGGACGTGTTCTCGTTGGAGCAGCGTCAGAGGGGGTGGGTGACTCGGTGTGACTCTGTGGTGTGACTCGGTGTGACTCGGTGTGACTCGGGGTGACTCGGTGTGACTCGGTGTGCCCGCAGTAAAGGCGAGTACCCGGAGGACGTGTTCTCGTTGGAGCAGCGTCAGAGGGGTGGGTGTGACTCGGTGTGACTCGGTGTGACTCGGTGTGACTCGGTGTGCCCGCAGTAAAGGCGAGTACCCGGAGGACGTGTTCTCGTTGGAGCAGCGTCAGAGGGGGTGGGTGACTCGGTGTGACTCGGTGTGACTCGGGTGACTCGGTGGTGACTCGGTGTGACTCGGTGTGCCCGCAGTAAAGGCGAGTACCCGGAGGACGTGTTCTCGTTGGAGCAGCGGCAGAGGGGGTGGGTGACTCGGTGTGACTCGGGTGACTCGGTGTGACTCGGTGTGCCCGCAGTAAAGGCGAGTACCCGGAGGACGTGTTCTCGTTGGAGCAGCGTCAGAGGGGGTGGGTGACTCGGTGTGACTCGGTGTGACTCGGTGTGACTCGGTGTGCCCGCAGTAAAGGCGAGTACCCGGAGGACGTGTTCTCGTTGGAGCAGCGTCAGAGGGGTGGGTGACTCGGTGTGACTCTGTGGTGTGACTCGTGGTGACTCGGTGTGACTCGGTGTGCCCGCAGTAAAGGCGAGTACCCGGAGGACGTGTTCTCGTTGGAGCAGCGGCAGAGGGGGGGGGTGGGTGACTCGGGTGACTCGGTGTGACTCGGTGTGACTCGGTGTGCCCGCAGTAAAGGCGAGTACCCGGAGGACGTGTTCTCGTTGGAGCAGCGGCAGAGGGGGTGGGTGACTCGGGGTGACTCGGTGTGACTCGGTGTGACTCGGTGTGACTCGGTGTGCCTGCAGTAAAGGCGAGTACCCGGAGGACGTGTTCTCGTTGGAGCAGCGGCAGAGGGGGTGGGTGACTCTTCACCTCTTCGGGATGATCTACATGTTCGTCGCCTTGGCGATCGTTTGTGACGAGTTCTTCGTCCCGGCGTTGGAGGTCATCACCGAGACGCTGCAGATCTCCGACGACGTCGCCGGGGCGACCTTCATGGCGGCGGGCGGCTCGGCTCCGGAGCTCTTCACGTCTCTGATCGGCGTCTTCATCGCTCGCTCCAACGTCGGCATCGGCACCATCGTGGGCTCGGCCGTCTTCAACATCCTCTTCGTCATCGGCATGTGCGCCATCTTCTCCAGGGAGATGCTCCACCTGACCTGGTGGCCGCTCTTCAGGGACGTGTCCTTCTACATCCTGGACCTGGCCATGCTCATCGTGTTCTTCCTGGACAACGCCATCCGCTGGTGGGAGAGCGCGCTGCTGGTGCTCGGATACGTCAGTTACGTCACGTTCATGAAGTTCAACGCTCAGATCGAGAACAGCGTGAAGAACATCTGCAGCAGACACAAGAACACGGTCCAAGTGTGGAGAGACGACAACAGCAAGGTCAGAACGCTGCAGGACACACGAGCATACGAACAAACTAGAACAGAGAGGAGCAGAGGAGAAGGTCAGAGGAGCAGAGGAGAAGGTCAGCAGGTCAGAGGAGGAAAGGAGAAGGTCAGAGGAGCAGAGGAGAGGGTCAGAGGAGGAGAAGATCAGAGGTCAGAAGGAGAGGTCAGAGGACAGAGGAGAGGGTCAGAGAGGTCAGAGGAAAAGGTACAGAGGAGAGTGTTAGAAGAGGAGAAGGTCAAAAAGAGGAGAGGAAGAGAGGTCAGGAGGAGGGTCAGAGGAGAGCAGAGGAGAGGAGGTCAGAAGAACAGAGGAGGAGGGTCAGAAGAACAGAGGGAGGGGTCAGAAGAACAGAGGAGGAGAAGGTCAGAAGAACAGAGGAGGAGGTCAGAAGAACAGAGGAGGGGGTCAGAAGATGCAGATGATGCAGATGTTTCCCTGTGAGCAGTGAAAAGATGAAAGGTGAAATGATGAAGTGAAGCTCTGTTCTGCTGAATGGAGCCGAGGAACAATGAACGAGTGAAGCACAGCTGCACTTTGATCCACAACACACGAACCAGGACCAGGACCAGGACCAGGACCAGGACCAGGACCAGGACCAGGACCAGACCAGGACCAGGACCAGGACCAGACCAGACCAGACCAGGACCAGGACCAGGACCAAGACCAAGACCAGGACCAGACCAAGACCAGACCAGGACCAGGACCAGGACCAGGACCAGGACCAGGACCAGGACCAAGACCAAGACCAGACCAGGACCCCAACCAGGAGACCAGGACCAGGACCAGGACCAGGACCAGGACCAGGACCAGACCAGACCAGACCAGGACCAGGACCAGACCAGACCAGGACCGACCAGGACCAGACCAGACCAACCAAGACCAGGACCAGGACCAGGACCAGGACCAGGACCAAGACAGACCAACCAGACCAGACCAGACCAGACCAGGACCAGACCAGGACCAGGAGACCAGGAGACCAGGACCAGGACCAACCAGGACCAGACCAGACCAGGACCAACCCAGGACCAGGACCAGGACCAGGACCAGACCAGACCAGACCAGACCAACCAGGACCAGACCAGACCAGGACCAGGACCAGACCAGACCAGACCAGACCAGGACCAGGACCAGACCAGACCAGACCAGACCAGACCAGGACCAGACCAGACCAGACCAGACCAGGACCAGACCAGACCAGACCAGGACCAGGACCAGACCAGACCAGACCAGACCAGACCAGACCAGGACCAAACCAGACCAGGACCAGACCCAGACCAGGACCAGGACCAGACCAGACCACCAGACCAGAAACCAGACCAGACCAGAGAACCAGAGACCAGAACCAGACCAGACCAGACCAGACCAGACCAGAAGACAAGACCCAGGACCACAGACCAGAAACCAGAACCAGACCAGAAGACCAGACCAGAAGACCAGACCAGAACCCAGAAACCCAGAACAGACCAGAGCCAGAACCAGAGAGAACCAGAACCAGAACAGACCAGAACAGAGAGCAGACCAACAGACCAGAGAACCAGACCAGAACCAGACCAGAACCAGACCAGAGCGAGACTAGAACCAGAACCAGAGCCAGACCAGGTTAGACTCCAGACTAAAACGGAGCAGAACATTTCCTGAGTCGCTTTAGAACGATCTGGATCTGGATCTGGATCTGGATCAGAACCAGTTTAAGAGCACAGAGACCAGGACACGCTCACAGAACACTGAGGGATTCCTCTTGACCAAGATCTGACCAGAACCGTTTAAACACAAAGGTCGATTAATCCACAAAACAAAATCTTTCACAAACACCTGCAGTTTTTCCTCTGACTAAAAATACTTCAGTCTCTAAGTTGTTGAGGCTCCAACCTGGAAACAACCTTTATTCACAATATTTATTTAGTTTTGTTCATGTTCAGTTTTTGTTTGTTTGTTGCCAGGTGACTGAAGCCCCGCCCCCTGCCCCTCCCCCTGAACCTGAACCCAAACCCGGACCAGACCCAGAACCTCAGGGTCCAAAGACCAGACGGACCTCAGACCCACAGATGGACCGAAGCAAAGTCAAGGTGACACCAACACACCCGCTCATGTTTTATTTATCTGTGGTACAAATTTTATACATATTTTATAAATAAATATAAATAAATATTATACATCTGGACCCGGTCAAGCAGAAGTAAACAACAAGACCAAAACTTCAAGTGAATTCATCTGATATAAAAATGTATTGAACAGATACATTTGTACTCGAGTTTATCAAACTGTTGACCTTTTTTTCTGTTCCATTTTTGGTTCTAAAGTTCCATATGTTTTAAACAGAAATGAATGAAACATGGAACAAAATTATTCCCAAATTTCAAAGACCTGAAAATCATGTAAATAAATGTTTGTATTTCATCATATCTTGTGTTATTCCATCTTTGAACTGTTGATGAAGGGACATGGATTTAAAAAAAAATGTAAAAATTTAAAATGATAAAAATGTTCTTGGAAGACTGACATATTTTAGAAATAGTTTCTTTCATTTTGAAGTAATATTAAAATATTCAGAAGAAAAAAGCGACAAATGATGTAAAATCCTGCACCTTCTACTTGTTTGTACAATTTTCCCTCCGTTACTTTTCCCTCCGTTACCATGAACTTTCTTAATAAAAAATCTCATGAGTCAAAAAGTCAGAGGTTTTTCATCCTAATCTTGTACCATATGGTAGAAAACTATATGAAGCAAATATTCAAACCAGTTTGTTAAGGATATGGAAGTGAGAACCAAGAGTTATCACTGTTTGGATTTATTGCCAAAAAGTGCTGCATATTTCATTCCCTCCGTTACCGACATGAGTTTTTTTATTTTTTGTCTTGAACTTGAAAGAATCTCACAGGTTTAACTTGACCCTGTTGGAGTGTAACTCTTTCCTACATTCTGATACTTTACTTATTTCAATAGTTCCTCTAGTTTCTGAATAAGACACATTTGAATGTCAAAAATCTGACCCTGTTTCCTTCCGTTACCACTTGACTGGACCCATGTATGGGTTCCTCATGGAGGCTTCAGCTGCTCCTTTCCACGTGGAGGAGCAGCGACTCTACTCTGAGCTCAGCGTCAAAATTGTCCTCAGCTCATTTAGTTGGACCTTTTCATCTGAGGACAGACTCATGAAACTCATCAACGCCAGATTTTTAAACTCTGTGTTTGACGCCTGTGGCACCAATTCTCAAACACCATGTGAAGACTCAAAACACGGAGAAATCATTTCTCTTGTGGATCAATAAAGTTTCTCTAAGTCTAAGAAACCTACATGTGTCCTTCAAAGAATGTAGATAAAAACCAGACGCCACTCTGACCTGAGGAGGAAACTCATTTACAACATTATCCACCATCTTCTTTTGGTCAAAGATAATGACCAAAAGTGAGAGCAGGACCAGAGATCTAAACCAGGACTAAACCAGGACTACGAGTGACTGTGGTTCTTCTTGACCTGAGTTTCATAATCCCAGCAGTCACACTCTTGTCTGATTTTCAGTCTCGTCCGGCGCTGCAGAGAGGAGGCAGCACCGCGTCTCTTCACAACGCTTCAATGAGAAACACCATCTTCCAGCTCATGATCCACACCCTGGACCCACTGACGGAAGGTGAGGCCCAGACCTGAACCAAGACCGGATCTGAACCTGACCTGACCTGCCAGGACTAAACAAGGACTAAACCAGGACTGAACCAGGACTGAACCAGGACTGAACCAGGACTAAACCAGGACTGAACCAGGACTAAACCAGGACTGAACCAGGACTGGACCAGGACTGGACCAGGACTGGACGAGGATTTTCATTCACTGACTTGTTGTTTTGTGGTTGTGGTCAGATTTTTCTCTGAACGGTGACCTGAAGCCCGGACAGAGGAGAGGTAAGGCTCCACTGAGTCTCGGGGTCAGAGGAGGAGAGTACTCAGTCTTGGTCTTACTTGAGTAACTTTTTGAACCACTACTTTGTATTATTTTGATGTAACGTTACTCTTACTTGAGTACAGTTGTCAATTTTTGGCCTCTACTCTACCACCTCTGGTCATGTTATTGTGGCGTTGTTGTGGTGTTGTCATGGCGTTGTTGTGTGTTGTGTTGTCATGGTGTTGTTTGTGGTGTTGTCATGGCGTTGTTGTGGTGTTGTCATGGCGTTGTTGTGGTGTTGTCATGGCGTTGTTGTCATGGCTTGTCATGGCGTTGTTGTGGTGTTGTCATGGCGTTGTTGTTGTCATGGCGTTGTTGTGGTGTTGTCATGGCGTTGTTGTCATGGCGTTGTTGTGGTTGCATGGCGTTGTTGTCATGGCGTTGTTGTGTCATGGCGTTGTCATGGCGTTGTTGTGTTGTCATGGTGTTGTCATGGCGTTGTCATGGCGTTGTTTGTCATGGCGTTGTCATGGCATGGTGTCATGTTGTTGTTGTTGTCTGTCATGTTGTCATGGCGTTGTTGTCATGGCGTTGTCATGGCTCATGGCGTTGTTGTCATGGCGTTGTTGTCATGGCGTTGTCATGGCGTTGTTGTCATGGCGTTGTTGGTGTTTGTCATGGCGTTTGTTGTCATGTCATGGCGTTGTCATGGCGTTGTTGTCATGGTTGTTGTCATGGCGTTGTTGTGGTGTTGTCATGGCGTTGTCATGGCGTTGTTGTCATGGTTGTTGGTCATGGTTGTCGTTGTCATGGCGGCGTTGTTGTCATGGCGTTGTCATGTGTGTTGTCATGGCGTTGTTGTCATGGCGTTGTTGTTGTTGTGCATGTTGTTGTCATGGTGTTGTTGTCATGCATGGCGTTGTTCATGGTTGTTGTTGTCGTTTGTCATGGCATGTCATGGTTGTCATGTTGTCATGGCGTTTTGTCATGGCATGGCGTTGTCATGGCGTTGTTGTGTTGTCATGGCGTTGTTGTTTGGCATGGCGTTTGTAGTTGTTGAGTTGAATGGCGTTGTTTGTTGTCATTTTTTAATTGTTGTGTGTTTGTTTATTGTGTGTGTATTCAAAGTTGTGTGTGTGTGTGTGTGTGTGTGTGTGTGTGTGTGTGGTTTATTATTGTGTGTGTTTTATTTTTGTGTAGTTCATATTTGTGTGTGTGTGTTTTCAGTGCGGAGCAGAGTTCAGCCCATGAGCGCAGCGCTGGCAGAGACACAGGAGCAAACACAGGGTGACACACACACACAGGGGTGAGACACACACACACACGGGGTGAGACACACACACGGGGTGAGACACACACAGAGGGTGACACACAAAAAACAGAGGTACACTCATCCTTTTGACTCCCTCTGGAGCCTCACGTTCACATGTTGTTGGTTGTTGCTCTGATCTTCGTGTGTCACTTTCTCTGTTTTGGTCGTTGTTGCAAAATAATTACAAAATGAGTCGTTGCCGCGTCTGAACAACAATCTGTTATTTACTGCGCTGGAGTCGTACAGAGCCTCATTTCAGGCAGAGGAGACGCGTGTCCTCCCATGATGCATTTGGAATGGTTCATTTGGACCTGCTGTCTGTGGTTTGGACCTGAGTTCACGTTCACACCAGAGGAACCGACTCAGAGTTTGGTATTTGGTGCAGATTGAACTGAGACCACGTCTGTCTGAGGGTCTCGATCCGCTGATTGTGGTCGAGTCCGATTGGACACCAACACACGTGTTCGAATGACAGTGCAACTGAGCGTGAAGGAGCCAGAAGACCTCCTGGAGCACTTCCTGTTTGAAACAGCTCGTGTTGGGACACAGTAGATTCTTCACTCGCTCGTGGACTCGACTCGTGTCTGGACTCGTTGGACTTGTTGGACACTCGTTTGAACTCGGTTTTGGAACTCTGTGTCTGGAACTCGTGTCTCGTGTTTGGACTCGTGTCTGAATCTGTCTGGACTCGTGTTGGACTACTCGTGTTGGACCGTCGTGTGTCTCGGACCGTGTGGACTCGTGTGGACTCGTGTCTGGAACTCGTGTTTGGACTCGTGTCTGGACTCGGTGTACTGGACTCGTGTTGGACTCGTGTTTGGAGTGTTTTGTCGTGTGTCTCGTGTCTTCGAACTCGGTGTTCTGGACTCGTGTCTGGACTCGTGTCTGGACTCTGGTCGTGTCTTGTCGTGCTTGGGAACTCGTGTTTGGACTCGTGTGGACTCGTGTTTGGGACTCGTGTTTGGACTCGTGGGACTCGTGAACTCGTGTTTGGACTCGTGTTTGGACTCGTGTTTCTGGTGAACTCGTGCTGGACTCTCTGTCTGTGACTCGTGTTTGGAACTCGTGCTCTCGTGTCTGGATCGTGTCTCTGACTCCGTGAACTCGTGTTTGGACTCGTCTTGTCTCGGTCTGTGTCTGGACTCCGTGTCTGGTGTCTCGTGACTCGTGGTCTGGACTCTCGTGTTTGACTCGTGTGTTCGTGCTTGGACTCGTGTCTGGACTCGTGTCTGGACTCGTCTGGACTCGTGTTCTCGGTCTGGACTCCTTTGGGGTTCGTGTTGTGACTCGTTTTTGCTCGGCCGTGAAGAGGCTTGCTCCTTCCTCGTGTCACTCGTGTTTGGACTCGTTTGGACTCGTGTTTGGACTCGTGTCTGGACTCGTGTCTGACTCTGTTTGGACTCGTGAACTCGTGTTCTCGGGGAACTCGGTCTGGACTCGTGTCTGGACTCGTGACTGGACTCGTGTTTGGACTCGTGTTTGGACTCGTGTCTGGACTCGTGTTTGGACTCGTGTCTGGACTCGTGTCTGGACTCGTGTTTGGACTCGTGTCTGGACTCGTGTTTGGACTCGGGACTCGTGTCTGGACTTGGGACTGTGTTTGGCGTGTTTGGACTCGTGTTTGGACTCGTGTTTGGACTCGTGTTGGACTCGTGTCTGGACTCGTGTTTGGACTCGTGTCTGGACTCGTGTTTGGACTCGTGTTTGGACTCGTGTTTGGACTCGTGTTTGGACTCGTGTCTGGACGTGTCGGACTCGTGTTTGGACTGTGTCTGTGTCTGGACTCGTGTCTGGACTCGTGTTTGGACTCGTGTCTGGACTCGTGTCTGGACTCGTGTCTGGACTCGGGGACTCGTGTTGACTCGTGTCTCGTGTACTCGTGGACTCGTGTTTGGACTCGTGTTTGGACTCGTGTCTGGACTCGTGTCTGGACTCGTGTTTGGACTCGTGTTTGGACTCGTGTCTGGACTCGTGTCTGGACTCGTGTTTGGACTCGTTGGACTCGTGTCTGGACTCGTTCTGGACTCGTGTCTGGACTCGTGTTTGGACTCGTGTCTGGACTCGTGTCTGGACTCGTGTCTGGACTCGTGTCGGACTCGTGTCTGGACTCGTGTTTGGACTCGTGTCTGGACTCGTGTCTGGACTCGTGTGGACTCGTGTCTGGACTCGTGTCTGGACTCGTGTGTCTTTGCTCTGGGCTCGTGAAGAGGCTTTGCTCCTCTCCAATCAGCGACCGTCACTAAGAGGCGTCTGAAGAGGCGACCGGCCGACCAATCACGGAGCGTCACGTGAAGCACCGGCCAATCACAGCCGAGCACTCAGGACAACAGCCAATCAGGAGCCAGATTAGACCACGAGTGTTCGCTCCACTTCAATCACGGCAACGACCGTCTCTGAATAATAACGAGTCACATAATTATAACGACATCATCTTCTTCTGCTGGGGTCAGAATAAAACAGAGGCATTGTGGGTAATTAAAGGTCCAGTGTTACAAGTCAAAATAAAATAAAAAATAAGTAATAAAAAATTAAATCTCACACAGACAAAACTGACTCTAACTTTTCTGGTGCAGGGTCCTTCAAACTTGCTTCGTCTGGAATGTTCCGCAGTGTGGCATTAAACCTTTCTATCTCCGCGGAGACCAAACCAGGCCAAGTTCCAGGTCAGATCTGTGGAGAGGCGACTCCGCTCACAGTCACTATGTTTGTTTTTCAAGGTGTTTTTGAGCTATGAAACCAGCTGTGATTGAATAAATGTAAAGTAGAGATGTTTAAAGTCCCACTGTGGAACATTCCAGAGCAGAGCAGTGACGTATCCATGGAAACGAGCAGGTGACGGATCCTCCCAATCGAAAAGTTACGCAGTGCATCTTTAAGTCAGGTTCTGATGTTGTTAATCCGTGTGTTATTAGTTCATGCGTTTTTCAAAATTAAACCGAAAATAAGAAAATGAAAAAATCAGCGGTTTTCTTCATTATTTGGCTCTAAAACCAAAAAAAAAAAAAAAAAACAGATAAAGATTTGTTTTTTTCAGTTTTCGAATTTGTGTTTAAATGAAAAATGGAAAAAAAAAGGATAACGACCATTTACGGACTTAAACTGCGATGCCAGAATGAACCAGGACTAAACCAGGACTAAACCAGGACTAAACCAGGACTAAACCAGGTCTAAACCAGGACTGAACCAGGTCTAAGCCAGGACTAAACCAGGACTAAACCAGGACTAAACCAGGTCTAAACCAGGTCTAAGCCAGGACTAAACCAGGACTAAACCAGGACTAAACCAGGTCTAAGCCAGGACTAAACCAGGACTAAACCAGGTCTAAACCAGGACTAAACCAGGACTAAACCAGGTCTAAGCCAGGACTAAACCAGGACTAAACCAGGACTAAACAGGTCTAAACCAGGTCTAAACCAGGTCTAAACCAGGACTAAACCAGGACTAAACCAGGTCTAAGCCAGGACTAAACCAGGAAACCAGGTAAACCAGGACTAAACCAGGACTAAACCAGGTCACTAAACCAGGTCTAAGCCAGGACTAAACCAGGTCTAAACCAGGACTAAACCAGGTCTAAACCAGGACTAAACCAGGACTATAAACCAGGACTAAACCAGGTCTAAACCAGGAACTAAACCAGGACTAAACCAGGACTAAACCAGGACTAAACCAGGTCTAAAACCAGGTCTAAGCCAGGACTAAACCAGGTCTAAACCAGGTCTAAGCCAGGACTAACCAGGTCTAAACCAGGACTAAACCAGGACTTAAACCAGGTCTAAACCCGGACTAAACCAGGACTAAACCAGGTCTAAACCAGGTCTAAACCAGGTCTAAACCCGGTCTAAACCCGGTCTAAACCCGGACTAAACCTCCTCTGGACCATATTTTCAGACGGGGACCAGATTCCTCAGGCTGATCTTCCAGAACCGTCGACGTCTCACAAAGTCCCAGAGAAAACCACAGAAGCACCACATGAGACCAAGGTACGAAGATCTGAGAAGGTTTCAGTTTGTACTTTTCTAGCTGAGTACAGTACTTTTACTTCTACTTGAGTAATATTTGTGTTGAAGTAGCAGTACTGGTACTTGAGTAAAAGTAGAGTTTTTTTCTTCCTGCTGTGGGTGAATCTAAAGTGACAAAAGCTTCACGTGAAAATAGGAAATGATCTGAGGTTGGCTCGACCAGGACTGGACCAGGACTGGACGGAGGACTAAGGACTAAACCAGGACTAACCAGGACTAACAGGACTAAACCAGACTAAACCAGGACTGAAGGACAGAACTAACAGGACTACACCAGGACTGAAGCAGAGCAAAACCAGTACTAAACAAGGACTGTAAGAGGACTAAACTAGGACTAAACAAGGACTAAATCAGGACTGAATCAGGACTAAACCAGGAATAAACTAAAAACTGAAGCAGAACTAGACCAGGACTAGACCAGGACTGAACCAGGACTAAATCACGACTATACCAGAACTAAACCAGGACTGAACCAGGACTAAACCAGGACTGAACCAGGACTGAACCAAGACTGAACCAGGACTAAACCAGGACTAAACCAGGACTAGACCAGGACTGAACCAGGACTAAACCAGGACTAAACCAGGACTAAATCACGACTATACCAGGACTAAACCAAGACTGAACCAGGACTGAACCAGGACTAAACCAGGAACTAAACCAGGACTGACTGACTAACAAGACTGAACCAGGACTAAACCAGGACTGAACCAGGACTGAACCAGGACTAAACCAGGACTAAAACCAGGACTAAACCAGGACTGAACCAAACTGAACCAAGACTGAACCAGGACTAAACCAGGACTAAAACTGAACAGGACTAAACCAGGACTAAACCAGGACTAGACCAGGACTAAACCAGGACTAGACACCAGGACTAAACCAGGACTAAAACTAGGGACCAGGACTGAACCAGGACTGACAAAAGCTTCACATATGAAATGATTTGAACATTTGTGTTTCTTTTCACTCCTTCATTTTTTTTTTTTAGTTTGTCTCATTTTGTGTTTGTCCTTCAAAAAACACCAGATTTTGTGTTTAATGAATCTTTTATTTACTGTTTTATTTACTGTTTTATTGAATCTTTTATTTCCTGTTTTATTGAATCTTTTATTTACTGTTTTATTTACTGTTTTATTTAATCTTTTATTTCTGTTTTATTGAATCTTTTATTTACTGTTTTATGTTCATGTTTCGTTCTGGTGCCGGTGCTGCCCCCTGCTGGCCTCTCGTGTTCTCGTTCTGAAGCGTTTCTCCGTGTGTTTGTGCAGATCCCGGAGGAGCAGGGTTCGGGCAGCGGCTGCTCCTCGGGCTCTGATGAAGACGAGGAGGAGGAGGCAGGAGGAGGAGGAGGAGGAGGAGGACAGCGCCCCCTTGAGTCTGGACTGGCCTCAGACCTGCTCCAAACAGGTGTCCTACCTGCTCCTGCTGCCCATCGTCTTCCCTCTGTGGGTCACTCTGCCCGACGTCAGAAACCAGGTACAAAACAAACAAACAAACAAACAAACAAACAAACGAGAATCTCAAACCTCCAGACTGATTCTGAAACCAAGATGATAAAAATAAAAATTAAAAAACTCTATTTAACTTTATTTAGACGATAGAATGTGATTTTTAAGGACTGAACCAGGACTCGACCCAGGACTAAATTAAAACTGAACAAGGACTGGAGCAGGTCTAAACCAGGTCTAAACCAGGTCTAAACCGGGTCTAAACCAGGACTGAAACCAGGACTGAAATGAGGACTAAAAAACCAGGACTGAAACAGGGACTAAAGAGAACTGAAACAGGACTACCTGGAGGGCCATAGTCGGTCTGGAACTAGGGCTTTAACCAGTTTTTATGACAGATCAATGTTTATCTCGGGACAGTTCTGCTGCAGTTCTGTTTGTTCTCAGTTGTTTGTTTCTGTTTGTTCTTCAGTTGTTCTGTGTTCTTCAGTTTGTTTGTTCTGTTTGTTCTGTTCTTCAGTTCTGTTTGTTCTGTTTGTTCTTCAGTTCTGTTTGTTCTGTTTGTTCTTCAGTTCTGTTTGTTCTTCAGTTGTTTTGTTCTTCAGTTCTGTTGTTCTTCAGTTCTGTTTGTTCTTCAGTTGTTTGTTCTGTTTGTTCTTCAGTTCTGTTTGTTCTGTTTGTTCTTCAGTTGTTTGTTCTGTTTGTTCTTCAGTTCTGTTTGTTCTGTTTGTTCTGTTGTTCTGTTTGTTCTTCAGTTTGTTTGTTCTGTTTGTTCTTCAGTTCTGTTTGTTCTTCAGTTGTTTGTTCTTCAGTTTGTTTGTTCTGTTTGTTCTGTTTGTTCTTCAGTTGTTTGTTCTGTTTGTTCTGTTTGTTCTTTCAGTTCTGTTTTTGTTCTTCAGTTGTTTGTTCTGTTTGTTCTTCAGTTGTTTGTTCTGTTTGTTCTTCAGTTGTTTGTTCTGTTTGTTCTTCAGGCGTCCAGGAGGTTCTTTGCTCTGACTTTCCTCGGCTCCATCCTGTGGATCGGAGTTTTCTCCTACCTCATGGTGTGGTGGGCGCATCAGGTCAGTGTGACACGAGGCGGGCGCATCAGGTCAGTGTGACACGGTCAGTGTGACACGAGGTGGGCGCATCAGGTCAGTGTGACGTCAGGCGGGCGCATCAGGTCAGTGTGACACGAGGCGGGCGCATCAGGTCAGTGTGACACGAGGCGGGCGCATCAGGTCAGTGTGACAGGCGGGCGCATCAGGTCAGTGTGACACGAGGCGGGCGCATCAGGTCAGTGTGACACGAGGCGGGCGCATCAGGTCAGTGTGACGTCAGGCGGGCGCATCAGGTCAGTGTGACACGAGGCGGGCGCATCAGGTCAGTGTGACGTCAGGCGGGCGCATCAGGTCAGTGTGACGTCAGGCGGGCGCATCAGGTCAGTGTGACACGAGGCGGGCGCATCAGGTCAGTGTGACGTCAGGCGGGCGCATCAGGTCAGTGACATCAGGTCAGTGTGACGTCAGGCGGGCGCATCAGGTCAGTGTGACATCAGGTCAGTGTGACACGAGGCGGGCGCATCAGGTCAGTGTGACGTCAGGCGGGCGCATCAGGTCAGTGTGACGTCAGGCGGGCGCATCAGTGTGACGTCAGGTCAGTGTGATCAGGTCAGTGTGACGTCAGGCGCATCAGGTCAGTGTGACACGAGGCGGGCGCATCAGGTCAGTGTGACACGAGGCGGGCGCATCAGGTCAGTGTGACGTCAGGTCAGTGTGACGTCAGGCCGGCGCATCAGGTCAGTGTGACGTCAGGCCGGTGCATCAGGTCAGTGTGACATGAGGAGCTCAGGGGCAGGGGGCACAGGTCACAGACTGTAAAGACGAGTGCGACGGCGCCTGCAGAGTCCAGCTCCAGTCAAATGAAGCTCACTGAGGCCTGCAGTTATAGGAGAGAATTTGAAGCTCCACATTTGAAATTCTGACCATGAGATTGGAGTCGATGGAGGCAGAAGTTCACTCACGCTCACTTCCACTCAGTCTGTGGTTTTATGGTTAAAACAGTGTTGGGAAGTTAGCAGAACATAAACCAAAAATATATTTTCTGAAAACTAATTTTAAAAACTGTCTGTAGGTACAGTTACTTTTATGTTTGGTGGTATTGAGAAACAGTGATTCAATTAAAAGGAATAAATGCACCACATCTGCGTAGGATTATAGTGAAAAATAAATGAAACACAGCTCCTGCAGTGTGTGTGTGTGTGTGTGTGTGTGTGTGTGTGTGTGTGTGTGTGTGTGTGTGTGTGTGTGTTGTGTGTGTGTGTGTGTGTGTGTGTGTGTGTGTGTGTGTGTGTGTGGTGTGTGTGTGTGTGTGTGTGTGTGTGTGTGTGTGTGTGTGTGTGTGTGTGTGTGTGTGTGTGTCTGTGTGTGTGTGTGTGTGTGTGTGTGTGTGTGTGTGTGTGTGTGTGTGTGTGTGTGTGTGTGTGTGTGTGTGTGTGTGTGTGTGTGTGTGTGTGTGTGTGTGTGTGTGTGTTGTGTGTGTGTGTGTGTGTGTGTGTGTGTGTGTGTGTGTGTGTGTGTGTGTGTGTGTGTGTGTGTGTGTGTGTGTGTGTGTGTGTGTGTGTGTGTGTGTGTGTGTGTGTGTGTGTGTGTGTGTGTGTGTGTGTGTGTGTGTGTGTGTGTGTGTGTGTGTGTGTGTGTGTGTGTGTGTGTGTGTGTGTGTGTGTGTGTCTGTGTGTGTGTGTGTGTGTGTGTGTGTGTGCACTGATGTCACTTATACAAGAAAAACATGAAATAAATCATGCTCCAAAACAAACAGCGAACGCGAGTCGACCTCAATAAGAACTGTGACTGCGACAGACGTTTTACAGCCTCGTCTCCTCCTGTTTTCACTCTGTTTTTATCTCCATGAACTGTTGGAGTGAATCACAGCTGGACTCGTCTGTTTCACTGTTTCACACATGTTTCTGCTGCTGGACTTATTTTCTCTGTTAAAAGCTTCACTCTGCTCCACATGGAAACACACAGCGCAGAACATAGAACCTACAGACAATAGAACCTACAGACCATAGAACCTACAGACCATAGAACCTACAGAACAGACCTAGAACCTACAGACCACTACAGAACCATATAGACCTACAGACCATAGAACCTAGACAGAACCATAGAACCTACAGACCATAGAACCATAGAACCTAGACAGACCATAGAACCTACAGACCACTACAGACCATAGAATCAGACCATACAGACCATAGAACTACATAGACAGAACCTACAGACCATAGAACCTACAGACCATAGAACCATAGAACCTACAGACCATAGAACCTACAGACCATAGAACCTACAGACCATAGAACACAGACCATAGAACCTACAGACCATAGAACCTACAGACCATAGAATCTACAGACCATAGAACCTACAGACCATAGAACCTACAGACCATAGAGACCATAGAACTACAGACCATAGAACCTACAGACCATAGAATCTACAGACCATAGAACCTACAGACCATAGAACCTACAGACCATAGAACCTACAGTGATCGTGTTCGAGTACGACATGTTCAAGTCTTAGTGTGAATCTCCCTGAGTACAGCAGCTCTGGACAAACAGTTTGTGTCACTGGAGATCACTTGACGTCCCTCATTGAGAACTTCGTCAGGTCACAGCACCTCAGGTCACAGCACCTCAGGTCACAGCACCTCAGGTCACAGCACCTCAGGTCTCATTATTTCACCCACAATGGAATTTCTGTGTCTTTCACTGTTCTGAAAACAAAAGAGACTCTTCACTCAAACTGTCAGAACTCTTCATGAGCGAGAAACATGAGGGTGGAACATGAGAGAGGAACATGAGAGAGGAACATGAGAGAGAGAACATGAGAGAGGAACATGAGAGTGGAACATGAGAGAGGAACATGAGAGAGGAACATGAGAGAGGAACATGAGAGAGGAACATGAGAGAGGAACATGAGAGAGTGGAGAACATGAGAGAGAACATGAGAGAGAACATGAGAGTGGAACATGAGAGAGGAACATGAGAGAGGAACATGAGAGAGGAACATGAGAGGAACATGAGAGGAACATGAGAGAGGAACATGAGAGTGGAACATGAGAGAACATGAGAAGAGAACATGAGAGAGGAACATGAGAGAGGAACATGAGAGAGGAGAGAACATGAGAGAGGAACATGAGAGAGGAACATGAGAGTGAGAACATGATGAGAGAACATGAGAGAGGAACATGAGAGAGGAACATGAGAGAGGAACATGAGAGAGGAACATGAGAAGAGGAACATGAAGAGAGGAACATGAGAGTGGAACATGAGGAACATGAGAGAGGAACATGAGAGGGAACATGAGAGAGGAACATGAGAGAGGAACATGAGAGAGGAACATGAGAGTGGAACATGAGAGTGGAACATGAGAGAGGAACATGAGAGAGGAACATGAGAGAGGAACATGAGAGAGGAACATGAGAGTGGAACATGAGGAACATGAGAGAGGAACATGAGAGGAACATGAGAGAGGAACATGAGAGAGAACATGAGAGAGGAACATGAGAGTGGAACATGAGAGTGGAACATGAGGAACATGAGAGAGGAACATGAGAGGAACATGAGAGAGGAACATGAGAGAGGAACATGAGAGAGGAACATGAGAGAGGAACATGAGAGGGAACATGAGAGAGGAACATGAGAGAGGAACATGAGAGTGGAACATGAGAGAGGAACATGAGAGAGGAACATGAGAGAGGAACATGAGAGAGGAACATGAGAGTGGAACATGAGAGAGGAACATGAGAGAGGAACATGAGAGAGGAACATGGAACATGAGAGAGGAACATGAGAGAGGAACATGAGAGAGAACATGAGACATGAGAGAGGAACATGAGAGGAACATGAGAACATGAGAGAGGAACATGAGAGAGGAACATGAGAGAACATGAGAGAGAACATGAGAGAGGAACATGAGAGTGGAACATGAGAGAGAGAGAACATGAGAGAGGAACATGAGAGGTGAGAACATGAGAGAGAACATGAGAGACATGAGAGAGGAACATGAGAGGAACATGAGAGGGAACATGAGAGTGGAACATGAGAGAGGAACATGAGAGAGGAACATGAGAGTGGAACATGAGAGTGGAACATGAGAGAGGAACATGAGAGAGAACATGAGAGAGGAACATGAGTGAGGAACATGAGAGGGAACATGAGAGGAACATGAGAGAGAGAGAACATGAGAGAGGAACATGAGAGAGTGAGAACATGAGAGAGGAACATGAGAGAGGAACATGAGAGAGGAACATGAGAGAGGAACATGAGAGAGGAACATGAGAGGAACATGAGAGAGGAACATGAGAGAAGAGGGAACATGAGAGGAACATGAGAGAGGAACATGAGAGTGGAACATGAGAGAGGAACATGAGAGTGGAACATGAGAGAGGAACATGAGAGAGGAACATGAGAGAGGAACATGAGAGAGGAACATGAGAGAGGAACATGAGAGAGGAACATGAGAGAGGAACATGAGAGAGGAACATGAGAGAGGAACATGAGAGAGGAACATGAGAAACATGAGAGAGGAACATGAGAGGAACATGAGAGAGGAACATGAGAGAGGAACATGAGAGAGGAACATGAGAGAGGAACATGAGAGAGGAACATGAGAGAGGAACATGAGAGAGGAACATGAGAGAGAACATGAGACATGAGAGAACATGAGAGAGGAAGAGAACATGAGAGAGGAACATGAGAGAGGAACATGAGAGAGGAACATGAGAGAGGAACATGAGAGGAACATGAGGAACATGAGAGAGGAACATGAGAGTGGAGACATGAGAGAACATGAGACATGAGAGAGGAACATGAGAGTGGAACATGAGAGACGAACATGAGAGTGGAACATGAGAGGAACATGAGAGTGGAACATGAGAGAACATGAGAGAGGAACATGAGAGAGGAACATGAGAGAGGAACATGAGAGTGAGAAGAGGAACATGAGAGAGGAACATGAGGGTGAGAACTTGAGAGAGGACATGAGAGGAACATGAGAGAGGAACATGAGAGGAACATGAGAGGAACATGAGAGAGAACATGAGAGAGGAACATGAGAGTGGAACATGAGAGGTGGAACATGAGAGAGGAACATGAGAGAGGAACATGAGTGGAACATGAGAGAGGAACATGAGAGAGGAACATGAGAGAGGAACATGAGGGTGGAACTTGAGAGAGGAACATGAGAGGAACATGAGAGGGAACATGAGAGAGGAACATGAGAGGAACATGAGAGGAACATGAGAGAGGAACATGAGAGGAACATGAGAGAACTGAGAGACATGAGAGTGGAACATGAGGTGGAACATGAGAGAGCATGAGAGAACATGAGAGAGGAACATGAGTGGAACATGAGAGAGACATGAGAGACATGAGAGAGGAACATGAGAGAGGAACATGAGAGAGAGAGACATGAGAGAGGAACATGAGAGAGGAACATGAGAGAGAGAGAGAACATGAGAGAGGAACATGAGAGAGGAACATGAGAGAACATGAGAGAACATGAGAGAGGAACATGAGAGAGAACATGAGAGAGGAACATGAGAGAGAACATGAGAGAGAGACATGAGAGAGGAACATGAGAGAGGAACATGAGAGGAACATGAGAGGAACATGAGAGAGGAACATGAGAGAGGAACATGAGAGGAACATGAGAGAGGAACATGAGAGAACATGAGAGAACATGAGAGAGAGAACATGAGAGGGAACATGAGAGAGGAACATGAGAGAGAACATGAGAGGACATGAGAGAGGAACATGAGAGAGGAACATGAGAGGAACATGAGGGTGGAACATGAGAGAGGAACATGAGAGGAACATGAGAGAGGAACATGAGAGAGGAACATGAGAGGAACATGAACATGAGGGTGAGAGAGAACATGAGAGAGGAACATGAGAGGAACATGAGAGAGAGAACATGAGAGTGAAACATGAGAGAGGAACATGAGAGAGGAACATGAGAGAGGAACATGAGAGAGGAACATGAGAGGAACATGAGAGAACATGAGAGACATGAGAGTGGAACATGAGAGAGGAACATGAGAGAGGAACATGAGAGAGGAACATGAGAGGAACATGAGAGGAACATGAGAGAGGAACATGAGATTAGAACGTCCAACACAAACTTCTCACTGAAAATAGTTATAGTTTGTAATAATAAAACATTTGCTCGAAGCCTGTCCACTTTTCTGTGTTGATAAGAGGCTTCAGATGATGTTAAATTTGTGATTAATCGTGAGTTAATTGTGATGTTCATGGGAATAATCATGATTAAATATTTGAATTGATTAACAGCGCTTGTTTTTACTCTGTAATATTGACGTGAGTGTGTGCGCCGCTGCCCCCTGCAGGTCGGGGAGACTGTGGGTATTTCAGAGGAGCTCATGGGTCTGACCATCTTGGCCGCAGGAACCTCCATCCCCGACCTCATCACCAGCGTCATCGTGGCGAGGAAAGGCCTGGGCGACATGGCCGTGTCCAGCTCTGTGGGCAGCAACATCTTTGACATCACCGTGGGGTACGACACACACACACACACACACATACACACACTCATACACACACATATACACACATATACACATATACACACACATACACACACACACACACACATACACACTAGAGGTGAGATCGGGCCTAAAAAATCCAGCCCGACCCGACCCGGCCCGCGGGTATTAAAACCCGACCCGGCCCGAGCCCGACCAATTAACTTGATTTGCAGGCCCGAGCCCGAAGCAAACCCGAAATGTCATATTTTATTTGTGAGGACTCGGGAGGAGGAGCAGTGCTCAGCGTCGAGGTGCCAGTCTTTTTGCTCTCGTATGAAAGCAAAGCGCCACATTGACGACATTCAGCGAAGCCAACGCAAGTTTCTGTAGCAACAATCAATTTGAAGCTTTTCCACACCTCACTCTTACCGGTGCGTGTTTGTCTTTTCAGTTTCTCCTGCCTTTAGTTTAACTTCTTGCTCCTTCATATTGGGGACACCAGGTCAAAATAGATGCAGACTTGCGGAGGGGAAGATGATTAAA